AGCGGCTGCCTTCAGCTCAGGTCGTGATCCCAGGGTCCTGGGATCGAGTCCCGAACAGGGCTCCTTGCTCAGCAGGGAGTCTGCTGCTCTCTTCACTTCTGACGCTCCCCCTGCTTGTGCTCTCTCTCTGTTAAATAAATAAAATCTTAAAAAAAGAAAAGAAAAGAAAATTCATTAATTTATTGACCCTCAGTTTCTCTAACTTAAAAAAATGGCGATATAAACACCTTCTTTGCAGAGTTCTTGAGTGGAGATGTAAATGAAACATTTAAGTGAGAGTAAATAACCTAAGATCATGAGACGCAAGACCAATCAGAAGATCATAAGACAGAAGAGAGTGTTAGAGACTGTGGCTAACTGAAGAATGCAAGCCCCGACTAAATATATTTTTTAAATTATTTTAAACACTGACCTTGTCATACAAAATATATCTGCAGGCATGGCATCTGGTCTTTACCCCTAATATACTGGCCAATAACTAACCAATATTCAAGTGCTACCTAAAACATAAAATCCTGAGTAGTCTGCAAGTATCTTCTAGCTCTGTGTAAGGTGCTGCTAAATACAGGAGTATACAATGATTCAACAAATATTCAGTGCCCATTACATACTAGCAAGTACAGATAGAGATACTAAAAGAACTAATTCAAAGAATTTATAGCCGAGAGAGAGAGTACAGATAAATCAAAACATGTCCATTACTAATACCACTAACAATACTGATGCTACCCAAATTACCTTTCCACTTTCAGCTTTGCATTAATATTCTATGCAAGGTTTTGTGAGCACCTGTATTCTTATATATAATTTTTAAACATTGTTAATGACTAGAAGTATTGGGGATTTTAAGTAATTTTGTTTTAGGCACAGAGTACATTTTACTTTTTAAATTTTATTTATTTATTTTTTCTAAGTGGACTCCAGTGTGGGGCTTGAACTCATGACCTGGAGATCAAGACCTGAGCTGAGATCAAGAGTTGGATGCTTAACTCACCAAGTCATCCAGGCGCCCCTAGAAACAGAGTACATTTTAACTAGACCAACATGGTTGTCTACTGTGAAATAAGCAAGCTTGCTTAATTAATGCTAAGGCTTCTCCCAGGTTTAAGATTCTGTAGTTAGGAAACACTAAACCATGGAGTCATCACATAAGAGGAAACACTGACCAAGTGACTCAGAGTCATCTTAGAGCTAAAGTACTTCCTAATACATTTTGAGCAAGTTTCTGTCATGTGAGACCTGTCTCTCAACGCAAAAAGTACAAAATCTGGCAGCTTTCTAACTCCATTAAAATTGGATTGTCCTCTGTCATTATCATGGGTCAGATTTTTCTGAACTCATCTAAAATCTGAGCAAAAGATGTGTACAGAGCCTACTGCCAACATTTATCTGATTTTTATTTTATTTTATTTTAAAAAGATTTTATTTATTTGACAGAGAGAGACACAGCGAGGGAGGGAACACAAGCAGGGGGAGTGGGAGAGGGAGAAGCAGGCTCTCCGTGGAGCAGGGAGCCCGATGTGGGGCTGGATCCCAGGACCCTGGGATCATGACCTGAGCCGAAGGCAGACGCTTAATGACTGAGCCACCCAGGCACCCCTATCTTATTTTTATTTTAAAGCATGACTCCTCCATTTGTTGATCCATGACCCAGGCAAGTTACTGCACTTAACTTTTAGATTCCTCATCCTTAAAATGGTGATGATAAGAACCGAGATTTGTTTAAAGGAGACAATGTTTGCAAAGCACTTATCAGAGCCGTGGCATATAGTAATATTCCATAAATATTGTTTAGTATTTTGACTGTCATTTCTACTTGCACAGATAGGGCCTTCTTGTCTTTATTCTGAGGAATCTTTAATGATGTCTCCATAACTACCCTTGTCAGACATTTTTGCTGGAGGCATCGCTGCTTGGAAAGCCTCACTCCCAGGCAGCCACTGAAGATTAGATATGAACCTGGAGCTGACTCAGTCCAAGCCCAAGCGCTTTGTTCTTCATCCCAACCATTACGAGGAGTTGAGTCCTATGAGCAAACCTGGCCTCTTCTTTGGTCTCTTATGTTTGGGGTTTCTGCTTCAGATTTTTATTTATTTATTTTAGAAAATACTTTATTTTTTAAGTAGGCTCCACACCCAACATGGGGCTTGAACTCATGACCCCAAGGTCAGCAGTCACATGCTCTACCGACTGACCCAGCCAGGCGCCCCTTCAGATTTTTATTTTTAAGGAATGGTCTTGCAGATACCAACACACACATGAAAAATACTCTCCGAGGTGATAAAGCCCAACTTCCTTAGCCTGCCATTGAAGACTGTGCATTATCTAGCTGGAACTTACTTTTCTAACCTCCTTTCCCCATTGCTCCCCTCCCCTTCTGGTGCAGCCCACTCCTGCCCAAACTGACCTGTTGTTCATCATGCATACTGTGTCCTACCCACCTACACGCATCAATCCCAGATGCTCAGCCTTCTCCCTCATCTCCAAATTCCACCCTATTTCCAGATTCAGGAGCAATGTCAGATCTTTGGAAGGCTTCCCAGAATCCTTCTCAAAGAAAGTGCTTGGGCTTTGGACTGGGGTCAGACCCAGGTCAGACCTAATTTTCATCTCTAACTAGCTGTGTATTTGTGATTCTTTAAAAAATAGGCACCTGGGGTCTTGCCTATAAATAAAAACTTAGCCTATAGCACTGATAGGAGGTCTAATTGCACAAACAAGGTGTATAGGCACTAATCACATATCTCAGGTATACCAACAATTACTTCCCGCCTCAAACCAAGGTCATCTCTTCTACTTACTTATTTATAGACATGGTATAGGAACAAATGGATACCTACTGGGGAAAAACAATTTGAGCTGGATCCCTAGTCTCATTTCCTACACTGAAATAAATTCTAGATGAACCAAGGTTTTAAATCTAAAAAAATAAAACATCAAAAAAAAAAAAGAAAAGAAAAAAGAAACATCTACAATAATGAATGAATGAAATAAAAGACAGGTAAATTTACTCATAAACTGGGAGTGAAGAAGGACTTTCTAAGCAGGATACAACAATCAGAAGTCAGCAAATGGAAGGATTGATGGTTATAGCTAATGAAAAAAATTCAATGTTTCTACAGGAAAAAAAAGCTATAAAAATTAAATTATATCACACCGAGAAAATAATTTTGCAACATGTATTATGAAGGGCTAATTTTCTTAATTTACGAAGAGCCGTTCCATATCAAGAAAAACTGCTGAATACTCCAAAAAAAAAAAAAAAAGCCAAAAACACACATGATTAATAAATGCAAAATGATGTTCAATTTTGATAATAAAGAAATATAAATGAAAGCAAAAGATACAATTTTTAACCTTTTGGATGGGCAAAAACTAAAAAGATAATATTCAATGTTGGTAATGGTGTAAGGAGACAGGTCTTCTCATGAACTGTTTTGGGGCTGCAAACTGGTGCTACTTTTGTTGAGTACCACTTCGCACAATTCACAAGAATAAAAAAAAGAACATTCCTTTGATTCACTACTTCCACTGCTAAAAATTTATCTTAAAAATAAATCAAGACCTGCGCAGTAATAGGCTAGTTGCAAAACTTTTTGCAATGGGAAAAAAAAAATTAGTTACTTGTTAATAGATTCCTGGTAAATTGAGTCATGATACGTATCAAAATGGAATTCTAGGCAGTTATAAAAAGAATGATGTTGACAAGGATATTTCTAAGAAATACTAGGTGGGAAAAAAGTGCAGAAGGAATATGATTCCATTTTCATAAATTTGATGTGTGGAAGTGGGGTGGGTTGAGTGTGTATCAATTAACATACTCAACTGTAAATACTTTTCTAGAAAATACATATGAAATGGAGAAGCATTTCCTTTTGGGGTAAGGAACTGAGTGGGGAAGAAGGGGACATGTGGAATAGAGGAATATTTTTATTTTAAATTTTTCTAATCCAGTCTCGGACCTGGGTCTAGTATTCGTCACTGTGTATGTTACACTGAAATGGTATAGGGCGCCTGGGTGGCTCAGTTGGTTAAGCGACTGCCTTCGGCTCAGGTCATGATCCTGTAGTCCTGGGATCGAGTCCTGCATCGGGCTCCCTGCTCAGCAGGGAGTCTGCTTCTCCCTCTGACCCTCCCCCCTCTCATGTGCTCTCTCTCTCCTCTCATCCTCTCTCTCAAATAAATAAATAAAATCTTTAAAAAAAAAAAAAAGAGAAATGGTATATACATAATAACCAGCTCATCAGTGCGGACATTTGTTCCCAGCTTGTCTGTTAGAACAACTGGAGAGGCCCCAAGTTTTGAGCAGTGGATAGGATTTGTTAACTGGATTAATGAAAGTACAATTTATTATTGTGTAGACATTCAAGCATTTTTTAGAATGAAAATCCTTCATAGTGAAAGACTGGAACTCCTGGTGATGCAAAGGGAAAAAAATAAAACATATATAACTATGATGGGAGCTATTTCTGCTGTTGTGAGGGGAACCAGGAAAGGATAGATGTGACTTTAGCAACAACATGTGATGTTTCAGCTCCAACCTGACAAGTGATCCAAAAATGTCACATGGTATTTACCTTCAGTATCTGCAGCCAGAACCCTTTAAACATCAGCGCACTTACCATTTTTCTTACAATGAAAACTGAAAACAGTTTGTTTTTTTTAAACTAAACTTCACCTCTGATGTGGGGCTGAACTCACGACCCGGAGATCAAGAGTCGGGTGCTCTACCAACTAAGCCAGCCAGGCAGCCCTGAGAACATGACTTTATGTAGAGGCTGCCACCACCTACATAATCATGTATATAAATAAATGAAATGTTCCAACAGTAAATACGTGGCTCTGTGAGCTTATAAGTTGCCAAAATTTGAATGTACTCAAACTTACAAACAAGAGAAAAAGGTTTTAAGCTTCATGCAGCCTAATGCCCCACGTGTACCTATTAGGGGTCATTTGCACAATCACACGGGGGATTAACAGGGCTTCCTGCTACCACTTACGTCATGTATGTAAAAAACGTGCTCAGGGGTTCCAGGGAATGATTCCGGAAATATTCAAATTCTCTGCATAGCTTTTTCCTCATCTCCGTGTCAATTTTGGAAACAGTAAGAGGATTTGTTTGATTAGCCAAGAAGTTTCCATAATCAGTGGTCTGGAGATGAATTTTCACATCTGAAAATTAAATGAAACCTCATTTAAAGTTTGAACATGCATAAATAGCTTTTACAACATTAATTGAATTTATTGTGACTTTATGATAAATGCATATTAAATTATCTTATTAGATATGTATGTCTATGTATGATTTAGCCTTGAGTGTTACTCTCTAAAGCAATAAAAAATTCAATGTTAGTACAGATATTCTAGTACAACAAAAAAAAAATTCAATTATCTAAACAATCTAGAACTATTTAACACAACTGAAAAGAACATTAACAACCACCTAGTCCTAAGTTTACCTGAGCCAGTTGTAGTCATTTGGAAATAGCTGCTCAGAAAACTATTGAGAAGGATCCTAAAGCTTCATCTCAGCTTGATGGAAATGAGAAATTTATTAGTAATATTTACCATGGGTACGGGAGGTGGAATGGGCAATCATCAATAATACCCTTTTATTATAGATGAAGAAATGGAGTCTCAATAGGGCTGAGTGGTGGAGTTATAGAGTAGTAAGGCTCGAATTAGGAGATGGATCTTCTTACTCTTAAAATCCAACATCATTTCCAGAAGACCATGCCAGGCATCCTCTAAATGGCAGTGTTTTTGAATGCCAAGTAAGTGCTGAAGCATTAAGTGGGAGAGAAAGAGAGGTAAGAAATGAAGCCAGAGAATTAAGCAGGGTTGTCCAAGAAAGGCTTGGCATGGCTTCCTTTATCCTGAGGATAACCAGGAGCCCTTGTAGGCTATGAACTGATAACTGTCGTAGCTGATGAGAAGGTGGATTTGCAATTTGGCACTTAAGCTATTCTTAAGTATCTGAGATTCAGTGGACAGGCATTCTTCCTTAGTACCTGGAGAAGATTATGCACTGGAAATATTCTTTATCTGACTGCAGAATTTATTTGTTTAATTACCTGTTTAATTAACTTAATTTTTTAAAAATTATACTTTTTTTTTTTTTTTGGCCATCTCTTGTTTGGCTTTTATTTTGGCAGTTCAGATTTTTTACACAATTTAACAGTTTGCATTCTCAGCACTGAGGAATATTTGCCAACAGAAGAAACACAAATGTTATTTCTTTCAAAACCATGATATTTTGCTCATGCGGCATATGTTTCTTTTAAGCAAAATAACTTCCAAACCTTTCAGCTGCCAGTGAGATCCTGAAATTCAACATCTCAAGTGTTTCAGACCCCATAGGAATCATGTAATACTGTAGTCAATGGAGAGGCAAATGGAATTTTTTTTTCCCAGCACCAAAACAATCCAAGGGACACTTGAATGAGGATTCTAAGAAAATCTCAAAACCTGAAATGTTTGCTCTGAGATGATGATAGACTGCTGATAATATCAACAACGCTTATAGTTTTATAGTTTTCAAAATGGGCTCACATAATTTTTTCTCTGCATTTCCCCAAGTGCTTATTTCAATAGGTATGTAATAAAAAGGACTTTGTGGTCAAATAAATTGGAATAAACAGGCTTCTTAGCTGTAGGAATTGAAAGCCTTTGACACATTGAGTGATTTTTGAAAAGAGTACGGTTCAGAACCTCCCAAAACACTAGAAAACAATGGAGCCACCCACAGCACACTTTGGAAAATTACACTGCTTTTTTATCCGGAGAAGTGACGTTTTTTTCTTTTTTATTCAAATGAGGGAATGGAATGTTTTCCAAACTGGGATCACTACCAACTAAATCCATTTAACAGGTCCCAGACAGCAAAGAATAAAAGTATTAGATTAGGCTCTTGTAACAAATATGAGCATATAACACAGAGTAGCATATACACGTGTGTGCACACAGGGGCATCACGTAAAAATGTGTCTTCTGTGGGTTGCAGTCACTGGGTTCAGTGAATTCTCTGAGATCACTTGGCTAGCGAGGCAGGATGATGATCTGGGCCATCATGATTATCGTCTATTAATTTGTTGGTCAGATCAGTTTTAGAAAATGGTAATTTTTTTTTCCTGTGCAGCTTCCTGTTTGGGGCTCTCTATAAAAGTGAATGTCCAGACCTTTTACACTCCAGGTAGGCTTTATGCCAAGGAAGCACCTTCAAGAGGTACCCGCAAGGGGTGCTTCCCTTGAGCCATCCCCTGCCTTTTCCCCACTCTCTGCCGGCGCTGAACTTAAGAAGTTATCTGACTTTTCTGAACTCAGTTTCTTCACCTATAAAATGGATATAGAATCCATGCCTTCGGGTTGTTGTGGGGATTAAACACGAGGACGTAAGTGAAGGGCCAGCATATAGGTGCTACTCCAGAATATTACCTTTTTTCTTCTCACTTGTACCCACTTACTTCAGCGATAATTTGATTCAGTTGGCTAAAGACTTCGGTACTTATTCTTTACATCAGAATATTCTCAAGCTAATATGTTGGCATCGGCCATCAGATCTTATAATCACTCAGATTTTAATACTATACCAGTATCTATAAAACCGGAACTTCTCCCTCCATTTTTGCTAATTTATTGCCATTCCTACGGTGATAAAGTTCCAAGTCCTTTTTGGTGCTTTCTTACTCCAAATCCCTTGCACTGTTCTTTAATGTCCTCTCTGGTTTCCACTCCGCGTGCCCCTGGTTTAGAATGGCCACCTGACATCAAGATTACTGCTGTGAGCTCTTAAATTGATTCTCCCAAGCTCATTTCTCCTCATGCACTCCCTGCCTCAGATTCAATCTTTCCAAAGAATTATTTTGAGTTTGTAATGACCTTGTAAGAATCTTGGAGTCACTGACAGTTGTAGGCAGATTAAAAAGGACTTTCCTAATATTTGTAATGTTTTACCACTGACAGAATGGCTCTAATGGACATCATCTCTTAACCTTAACAAATATTCCCATTTCATAGATGAAGAAACTGAGGCCCAGAGAAATAACATGTTCATGTTTTCTATGCTTGCGAGTATTTGACTGAAGATTCAGATATGCCTCTTGTCCTCATTCATTTTCCTAAAGCTCCACAATCAGATCTCCAAGGTCCTTCAAGATTTTTCCCAGCCTAAATTCCGGCCTTATCTCCAGGTATTCTAGTATTGCAGCCAAACTGGTTTACTCCTCACCAAAAGCTTTTATTTAAATAGAGGAATCTGTAGTTCATTAATTTTCCCTCCTGGCCCAGAACGCCCAGCCATCGCAACACTTACTCGCATCTCATTGGCATTTTCCTAGCCTAGAGGCCTGCAGATCTGCTTCACTTTTGAATATATTTGTGATCTATAGGTTTAAATTGTTCTTGTATTTTAAAATTTTGATTGTTTTTACTTATTTATGATATCCTCTCAACTAGAGAGCTATTTAGGGAGTGCATAATATCTTACTGTTTATCATATTTTCTATATCACCTCATACAATTTTTATCGCATAGGTCATTTTCAGATATTAGTAGATTTAATTTCTGATTAAAACCTAGGACCTCGGGACACCTGGGTGGCTCAGGTTATGATCCCAGGGTCCTGGGATCGAGTCCAGCACCGGGCTCCCTGCTCAGAAGGGAGTCTGCTTCTCCCTCTCCCTCTGCCGCTCCCCCCTGCTTGTGCTTGCTCTCACTCTTTCTCTCTCAAATAAATAAATAAAATCTTAAAAACAACAACAACAAAACACATAGGACCATATAGCACTTCATTACATAATTCCATGCATGTTACCAGGATTGAAACTCCTCATTTTGGTTCTTATTCAAACAAACAGGTGCTCTCTGAAGAACACAATCAGCTACATAGAACCATATACAAAACACCATTAATCATAACCACGAGATGGGAAGAATTATTTCAGGAATTCAAAAGTCTAGCAAAAGAGGGAAAACTAGTTCTTGTATACACACTGTCGTTCAGGGAGGTGCTTATGATTTCCCAGGAATTCTTACTTAACAGTTTACAAAACATTTTCAGATATTTCTGATGCTCCTGATAACTGGGAGTTAGGCCAGGGAGATATTATCTAAGTATCAGATAAGAAGGCACCATGTTAAAAGTTAAGCAGTCTGGCTTAATATCCTAGAGCCAGAGTGGAAGTGCTAGGACTTGAACCCAAACATGCACACTTTTCTAATGTGAATTTTCAGATTCTTTCTATGTGCAAAACATAGCCTTAGGCTAGAGGAACTAGGACAGTAAAGTATATCATCTCTGCCCCCTTTTTAAAAGTGGGTATTTCTTTTTAAAATTCAGCTTTATTGAAGTACAACTGACAAATAAAACTGTAAGATATTTAAAGTGTACATCTGATATACATATACCTTGTAAAAGTATCCCCCCACTGACCTGACACCTCAGTGGGCTCACATATTGATACCTTCTGCCCTTAAGAAGCTTAAAATATAGGAGAAGATAGACTAATTTATTCATTTATGAGTTAAGCCCTTAACTGTTAATTCAGGGGGGTAGATAGTCGGGAGAGACAAATGTCCGCTCCCCGGCGTGATGCATCGATGCAAATGTCACAGAATTAGGTCCATCACAAGGTACAATAGAGTACGAAGTTAAGGCTTGTCCATCATACCCCAACATGACTGCAGTAGGAAAGGATTTACAGAGGAAGTAACTCGAGTGGAGAATTGAGAGAGGAATGAGTGCTCTCCAGGCAAACAGGATAGAGAATGGAATTTGTGACTGAAAGGAAAAACTTTACAAAAGGTAGAAGGGTTCTGAGGAAATGCTCGCAAGGTAGAGATCAGCAAGACTGCTCCAGCCTTTTGAACCAAGGGTGAAGTTGATCCCACCTGATGAAAGCCGCTGAAGTATTTTTGGAATAGCAAAGTGAAATGCATTGGATATGCATTTTTAATACAAGGTGGAAAAAGTGCTATAATTAGAGGTGTAAGTAGCATTTAAGGGAGCATGAAGAAAGCCCTTTGAACTAAGTCTTCCTTCTATATATATATTTTTTTTCATTTAAAAATAGATAGTAGGTATAAATATAGGTAAAAAGTGAAAGGTCACCTTAACTTGTCATCCACCACCACCACCCACTCACTCCTAGATGCAGGTAACTACTATTTTTAGTTTCTGTTGGATCCTTTCAGTTTCCTTGTATCTAGACCATCATATAGAAAATATATTTTTAAATTTATCTGTCTTTTTACTAAAGAGCACTATGCCACACATAGATCTTCCCATTGCTTTCCTCCCTTAATAGATCTCGGTGATCTTTCCATATCAGTCCTCTAAGGGGGTGCCCTCATGCCTTTTTTTTTTTTTTTTAAATAGCTGCAGAATATTGTTATGTGAGTGTTACATAATTTGTTTAATCAGTTCCCTGCAGATGGACATTTGATTTGCTTCCATCTTTTGCTATTCTAACCAATGCTATATGGAATCCCAGGCCAAGTGTATATGCATTTGGAATTTTGATAGGTACTGCCCAATTGCCCCCGTTAAGAGTTCTTATTTTTCAATATTTTTATTCTCCAGAGTGGGAGCCCTTTTAGGGCAGGGACTATATCTTATTTAGCTTTACTTCCTCAACTCTAGCCAGAAATGCTTAATATGTTGTTGTTAAATTAATTCCTACTAGAAAGGAAGGAAGGTCATATCCCCTAAAAGGGACATAATTGCTAGTAAGATAGGATCAGATTCCCTCATTCCCTTTTTTAAAAAGTACGGCAGAGAGGACAAAGGTAAGGGTTCAATCCACAGAACCAGTGGACACTTCTCACCATATATTTTAGAAAAGATCAGGTACTAAATTCTAGGGCTCTAAAGTGTTAATTTTACTACCTTGTCTTTTTTGAAGAGGAAAGAATATTTACAACAGTCTTATTTGTAATTTAAAAAATTCTAATGAAAATAGTCGTGTTGCCATCAAAAGAAATGGAGAAAACTTAAATGCATGTTATTAAGTGAGAGAAGCCAATCTGAAAAGGCTGCATACTGTATAATTCTAACTATATCATGTTCCGGAAAAGGCAAAACTATGAGACAGCAAAAAAGACTGGTGACTCCCATAAGTGGGGTTGGGGGAGAGGAATGAACAGGTGAGACAGAGGATTTTTAGGGCAGTGAAAATACTTTGTATGATACCGTAATGAGGGATACATGTCATTATTTATTTGTCCAAACCCGTATAACACCAAGAGTGAACCATAACGTAAACTATGGACTTTGGGTATTACGATGCATCGGTGTAGGTTCATCGATTGTAACAAGTGGTACCATAGGCTGTGGTGGGGAAAGCTCACAATGGTGAGGCTGTGTGTTTGTGGAGGCAAGGGGTATATGGGAAACCTCTGTACTTTCTCCTCAATTTTGCTGTTAACTTAAAAGCTGCTCTAAAAAAAAAAAAATCTTAATTTTAAAAAAGTGTTAATTCTTTAAAAAGAACATGTCGTGTCCCTTTAGCATTATTATTTTGCTGCAAAGTCACATTTGAAGGTTTTAAAGTTTCCATGCGGTTCAGCCTTCCAGCACTACGAGGGGGAGGGGCCATGTGAACCAGCTTCGCTCTTTTGTCTCTGGGAAGGACTGAGTCACGGAGTGTCTAGCAACTGATTCAGGTCACTGTGAGTCAGGGGCAGACCTTGGGACAGATGAGTATTTCTCATCACATTGGCACAATTATACACGCAGTTAAGCACAAGTATGCATTCCAGGACTTTTCAAAGTTTTTCTACACAATCTTCATTTTCTCTTCTAAATTTATCTGAAACCTTATGTGTTCTTTCTAAGTAATTCTAAAATAATTTGTTGGTATCAGAACACTTTTGAAGTCTAGAGGACTTGAAAAGACTAAAGGCAACTTTAATCTTTGCCGAGTTAGCTTTCCTTTTGCAGAGTGTGTCTGTGTCAACACAGAATACCACAGTGACAGTTTTACCTACTCTTCTTCATCCATTATTGGGACAGTGCACATTTTCTACCAATGTAAACAGAAATCCCAAAGTCCTTAACATCTATCCCAATAAATGACCTTGATTTCGTCTCTTCAACTCTTTTTTTTTTTTAAGATTTTATTTTTAAGTGATTTCTACATCCAACATGGGCCTCAAATTTACAATCCCAAGATCAAGAGTCACATGCTGTACTGACTTAGCCAGCCTGGTGCCCCTCTTCTCAACTCTTAATCCACCTCAGAAGGTGGCTGGGTTTCTCTCAGTGCATCTGCAGGTGCAACAGTTTTATTGTTTTTCAGAAGTTATTTCCCAACGTCCTATGGAATAATCAGATAGGGCAGACCTTATTATTTTCTGTATCAAAATGGAGCTGGGGTGCCTGGGTCGCTCAGTCGGTTAAACGTCTGTCTTGGGCTCACATCGTGATCCCGGGGGGGCCTGGGATGGAGCCCAGCACTGGGCTCCCTGCTCCGCGGGGAGTCTGCTTCTCCCTCTCCCTCTGCCTGCCCTCTCTCTCTCTCTCTGGCAAATAAATAAATAAAATCTTAAAAAAAAAAAATGGAGCTGGCATCAACATGGACAATAAACATTTATCTTTAGTTCATGCTCAGGAGGCATGGACATTTTAGAGGGAAAAGAGATGAGGATATGCCTACTACACTCCCTGACTAGAGCGTCAGCTTAGACACAGCCAGGCTAAGCCTCAATATTCTTTTTTTTTTTTTAATTTATTTATTTATTTGAGAAAGTGAGAATGAGAGAGAGAGAACACATGAGAAGGGGAAGGGTCAGAGGGAGAAGCAGACTCCCCGCTGAGCAGGGAGCCCGATGCGGGACTCGATCCCCGGACTCCATGATCATGACCTGAGCCGAAGGCAGTCGCTTAACCAACTGAGCCACCCAGCCTCGGTATTCTTAACTGTTACCTGCAGATAGGAAATCCTTATTTAGATTTCTTTTCTCAGAGGCCATTAAAACCTGCAGTTAATGACTCACACTTGATATTCCTGGGAGTCTCCAAACAGATTGGCACACAGATTCAAACATAGCTGTGAAATGAATGGTTGAAAAAAATTAATATTAGGAGGAAAGAATGATAAAAGCTGAGGTGCAAGGACAATAAAGCAATGGTGTAGGTGCCAGGGTTTCTTAAGAGGGTGCAGGGATGGCTTTGGGTGGTCCATGACCCGATTATCACATGGAAAAATTCTGTATGAATGCACCTGTGTGTATTTTTCTAAGAAGATTCTTTCTTCAGGTCTTCAAAAGGGTCTGAAACCCTTTTTTCTCTCCCAAATTGAAGCTGAGGGTGGTTTCTCTTTGAATTCTTTAGTGAGCTGGCTAAACCTGATTTCGTATCACATTTTAGGCATTTTATGTATATTGTTTGTGTTAAAATTTGCATTCCTTAGCTCATTTAATAGCTTGGCTGGGGGGCGCCTAGCTGGCTCAGTTGGAGGAGCACGGATTCTTGACCTCAGGGTTGTGAGTTCGAGCCCCACATTGGGTGTAGATATTACTTAAATAAATAAACGTAAAAAAAATTTAAAAAATAAAAGCTTGACTGAGAACTATATACAAATTCATTCAAGTGGCTTCTTAAAAACACTCATTCTTCCCTGCGTTCGTTCACTTTCTCTACTTCAATTTAAGCACATTTTCTCTTTTTATTCAAGTATAGTTGACATGCATTATATTAGTTTCAGGTATATGACACAGTGATTCAACAACTATATGCCTTACGAAATGCTCACCACGGTAAGTGTAGTTACCGTCTATCACTCTACAAAGTTATCACAATATTTATGCAGATTTTCTGTACATGATTAACATTCTCCAGTCATCAAACTCCTCACTTAATATGCTGACGTGATTTAGGATTTGGGATTATATTGTGATTATTTGTAGATCACAGAATTATTTCTCATCTGAAAGATTTTTCTAGCTGTCTCCATTACTAAGGAAAGGAGAGCGTCTATCTCAAATTGAACAGCTCCTCCTTAACTCTGGCTTTAACTGGTCAGAACCACAAACAAGTGACCCAGGACACTCAGCCTCAGCGAAGTCACCTTCAGATTTTTTGTTTTTGCTTTCAACACCTTTTCCTAGCAGTTTTGATCCTTATTGCTTCCCTGTTTTTTCTACAATAATCTTGTGGTTTTAAAGCATCTTACTATTGATATAGGTTGATTTTATAAGTACATTTCAGAATGAACTAGTGTAGCTGTTTTTATAATAAAAATCCTGTATTATAGATGTGAAATCTTCAGTAAAGTTTTGAAAATATTGTAGCTTAAAGATGATTTCCAGAGTAAAGGGAGAAATGAGGAGGTATAAGTCAATGGGTACAAAGTTTTAGAAACACAAGATAAATAATTCCTAGAGATCTACCATACAGCAGACAGAAAGTAGTTAACACACACACTCACACACACACATACACGCAAATAGTAATAGAGGGCAGGAAGAAACTTTTGGAGGTAATGGATAGATTTATGGCCTTGATTATGCTGATGATTTCATGGAGGCATACTTACCTCTAATCTCATCAGGTTGTATACATTAAATATATACAGTTTTTTGTATGTCAATCATATCTCAATAAAGTGCTTTAAAAAAAGATATTTTCTGTTTACATAGTGCTCCATGGTTTCTAACATATCTCTCAGGTATTACTTCGTTCTCCAAACAAAGCAGGCAAAGCAGGCATTATACCATTGCATTTTACAAGTGAGAACTGAGGCTCAGAGGTGGTGAGCCTTAGGCCACCTACCTAGACCTGGCAGAGGGCAAAGTCAGTACTTTTGAATCCAGGGCTGGCCTCACCACCCATCCATCTCTTGACTTTTTTCTTAAGCTTCAATTAAAGATAAACCTCAAACAAATCTCATATCAATATATACTGAGAAACTGGGTATAGAATAAAATTCTCTAGATCAAGTTTCTTAGCATTTGGGGGGGGGGGGGGATTTCTCCCTGGGCAGTTTGATGAAGTCCTTCTGCAAATATTATTTATAAATATGTAGAATGAAAATACATAGGATTACAAAGTAAACAAAACATGTTCAAATATAGTTATCAAGATGTTTTAAGATGTGTTACACTGCGGGGTGCCTGGGTGGCTCAGTGGTTTGAGAGTCCCACTCTATTTCGGATCAGGTTGGTGAGATCAAGCTCCACCCAGAGTCTGCTTAAGATTCTCTCCCTCTCCCTCTCCCCCTTTCTCTTGCACACGTGCTCTCTCTCAAAAAAAAAAATTAAAAATAAAAAGTGTAACTCTGTACACTTTATTAATACACTTCTTTATTAAGACATTAAGTACCAAGATTAAAGAATAAGTGCAATACCTAGTATAATTATGAAATCATGAAAATATACATGATATTTCAAAGTATCTGCAAGAATTGTATAGGGACATGAAAATATCGAATTTTTATTGGTAACAAAGTACTAACCACTGTAATTTGTTGCCTACATTCATAATAAAAGGAAATGCTAAAATTGACAAGGAAGATGTAATATTTTTTCCTCATCCAAGTTCATGGACCCCTGAAGTCTGGACTCTGGGAATAAGAACCTGTTCTTGACTCTCAGGCCATGGGAACACGGTCCCTTCTCCATGCTTCCAATGAGCAGCATCATTCCCTTGTTCCCTTTTTAAATGGTGAGAAGAGCAGCACGTACCTTCCAGGGTCTCGCACTGGACCAGGTTGAGGTAGTCCTGCTGGGTCAGGAGGCTGGCCTTGCACCCTCGCACCAGGCCTTCCAGGTAGCCATGGTCCACGTTAAAGTAGAACTCGGCGCCCTCAAGCATGGGGAAAGAGATCACAGCCAATTTGGGCTGAAGCAGCTCTGGATCCTAGGGGGCTCCTGATGATTTGCTCTAGTCTGGAAAAAAGTACTAGCAGTTATCAGGAAGAAACCTATCAGCTGATAGTCAGGGTTTTCATGACTAGTTTCCTCTGGTTTCTGTGGCTTTCATCAGCATGCTCAGCCCTGTTTTCACAGCAACAGTGAATCAGCAAGATAAGCCAAGTAAACGCGGACGCAAACCGCCACCGGGAGAGGGAGAGTGGGAGAGAGGGAGGGTCAGGCCTCTGCTCTGTCCCTCCCAGGGCAACTAGCCCCCTCCCAGCTTTGCCGTTGTAAGTCCTGAAACACTTGGTTTTGTGAACATTCCTCCCTCCATCTGAGCTTCTGAGCTTTCTGTTGTGAATTGCATTTGTCCTAAATTTCTTGAGGACTGTTAATATGAGAAAAGGGAGGGCTTTTTTTTTTTTAATTATGTTTTGTAAATAGATCAGTTGGGAACAGGCAGTTCGAAGAATCCTGAGAAGCTAATTCAGCAATGCAGTTGTTTGTAAAACAAATGTTTAGTAATGTCTTAACATTGCAAAGGCTAATAGCTGTTTACCCCCCACCCCTCCACTCCCCCTGCTCCCTGCCCCCAGCCCCAAATCTGGGAGCAGAGCCCAGAAAGCAATCCTGGAGGCAAACATTCTATAATAAGCTACTACCTTTACAAAATTGGACCCTTTATAAGGCACTTTTTATTTTCTTTTTCCCATTTAAATCTCACAATCACTGGAACATACATCTGGGCAGATAGTATTATTACCCAAATCACAGATAAGAAACCAGATCTCAGAGTTTGAGAGACAGCTCAAACTGCACATAATACAGTATGTACTTAATTAAGCCAGGACTTACTGAATTTAATGCTCCAAAAAGGAGTGCTTGTTCTCTCCTATACTTAGCTCAAAAATTGTGTCAAATATCCTGAACACTATATATATATATATATATATATATAATATTTCACTTTCATATATATGATGTCAAATTCTTAATTGAATTTAAAGTGCCAGAAATTCTCCAGTCTCTGTCTCAGTATTTTCAAACTGGGAGAAGCTAGATAAGATTAAATCACAAGAAATTCTGCTTTAGTTGTTGAAAATCGCAGAGAGCCAGACTTGGTCTAGCACAGTGTCCAGCATTTTGAAAGCATTTAATAAACAGTAGAGGTTCTTTTGATTACATCATCATTATCCACCAAATTCCCTGAGTATGTTTTAGGTTGAATCATATGAACTTATAACTTTTGTAGATCAAAAAATGGTTGCCTATCAGTAATTTTATACATTTCAATTTAATACAAACTTACAATTAAATAAATTAGAAAATAAATTCATCATTCCCTAATCATTTAGCATATTACTATTATTTGTGCATTTGAGGTTATGTCTACTGTATATATATGATAGATATTCTGCATAATGGCTTGTTACCATGCATCCCTCTTCAAGTAAGGGTTTAATGATATCATTATTGTAAATTTGAAGTTGACCATGGTGGAAGTATTTAGAACGGGGAAATAGGCAAATGGTAAAAATCAGGGCTTGATTTATTGTTGGTTGTTTGTCCAGACTTGAGAACATGTTAATAATCCCTCTAGCCATTACATTGTGAATTGCAAATTTTGGAGAAATAGTCTCTTAGTATTCAAAAACCCTTATCTGATTTAGCAAAGATAGCATTCACATAATAAGGAACAAGTGAAGTTCTGATATATGTCTTTATTGTTTCAATTTCATTCTACTCTTTAGTGTAAATAAAAATGTCAACCATCACTCAGGGGTGCCTGGGTGGCTCAGTCGTTAAGCGTCTGCCTTCAGCTCAGGTCATGATCTCAGGGTCCTGGGATCGGGCCCCAGAGCCCCACATCGGGCTCCCTGCTCAGCGGGAAGCCTGCTTCTCCCTTTCCTTCTGCCTCTTCCCTCTGCTTGTGCTCTTTTTCCCTTTTTCTCAAATAAATAAATAAAATCTTAAAAAAATATATCAACCATCATTCATCTTGGAACCACATTTATTTGTTGGTTGAAATAAAGTTGGGCTACAGATACTGGAGTTGAACAAAGATCAATGAAAGCATTCTGTGAAAATTGATGGACCATATGGAATTTACAATATGGAGTATTATTTTATTGTTATATGTAAATTGTGTGGTCATATCTTTTATAATAGTAAAATTTATAATAAACATATACAAACATATTTTGGGGGGAGAACCCGTTGTTAAACACAATACAACACACAATCCTCACTGTTCTGCCCAGAGCTAGCCTTGCATGTCAACATGCTCAAAAAAAATTTTGTGTATGTGTGTGTGCAAAAAGACATTTTATTTTTTTATTTTTATTTTTTTATTAAAGATTTATTTATTTATTTGAGAGAGCGAGAATGAGAGAGAGTACATGAGAGTGGGGAGGGTCAGAGGGAGAAGCAGGCTCCTCGCTGAGCAGGGAGCCCTATGTGGGACTTAACCAACTGAGCCACCCAGGCGCCCCAAAAAGACATTTTAATTTGCCATCCTTTACATTTATATGCAGAGCCAAGTTCCAATGTTTCTTTAAAATGATAGATCAGGGGCTTCTGGCTGGCTCAGTCTGTAGAGCATGTGACTCTTGATCTCAGGGTCATGAGTTTGAGCCCCATGTTGGGTGTAGAGGTTACTTAAAAAATTTTTCTTAAAAGACTACAAAATAATAAAAAAAATGATAGATACCAACTTCCTCTGTGATTACAAAATTCATGAATGAGGCAGGCCAAATACTTCTCTTCACATAATCCTTTAAACTTGGCACAAACAAAAATGTCTCATTCCTGCTAAAGGTACTTATCAGAGATGAGATCCAACTCCTGAGAGATGAGAGGAAACCCAGTGCAGTGACATGCATCTGGAGCTTCTTTATAAACGTGTCCCCATGGTGCAAACAAAATAAAAATGTTCGTTTCAGTGTTTAAACTACCAACGACGTTTAGGAGAGCAGCTTGCACTATGGCAGAGTATGGGTTTAAGTCACTTCCCCTCTAAGGACCAGGGTTTCCATGTGTAAAATGAGGATAATAATACTTACCTCGATGTGGAGAAAGGGGAACCCTCCTACACTGTTGGTGGGAATGCAAGCTGGTGCAGCCACTCTAGAAAGCAGTATGGAGGTTCCTCAGAAAGTTGAAAATAAAACTACCCTACGGCCCTGCAATTGCATTACTGGGTATTTACCCCAAAGATACAAATGTAGGGATCTGAAGGGGTATGTGCACCACAATGTTTATAGCAGCAATGTCCACAATAGCCAAACTATGGAAAGGGTCCAGATGCCCATCAACAGATGAGTGGATAAAGAAGATGTAGTATATATATATATATATATATATATATATATATATATATATATACACACACACACACACACACAATGGAATATTATGCAGCCATCAAAAAACCGAAATCTTGCCATTTGCAATGACGTGGATGGAACTAGAAGGTATTATGCTAAACGAAATAAATCAATCAGAGAAAGATAATTATCATATGATCTCACTGATATGAGGAATTTGAGAAACAAGACAGAGAATCATAGGGGAAGTATGGCATCCTCTTTCCACCCCAAGGTGCGTCCTACCCAACACTCTGCCTCTAAAGACACTCCAAGAGACTGTTCAAAAGTGGCGTGGCTGTCCACCTTGAGAACTACCTCAGAGCTTAGCAAGGCCTTGGCCTGCCTTAGTCCACTACATCGAAACATCCAGGGGCGCCTGGGTGGCTCAGTCGGTTAAGTGTCTGCGTTGGGCTCAGGTCATGATCCCAGGGTCCTGGGATCGGGTCGGCATCGGGCTTTTCCTAAAGCTGTATGTCTTAGTTGTTGGTTTAGATTTTAAAGCATTACATGTCCCAGAATATAATCTATAACTGCCATGTAAGCATCATCCAGCTTCACTAATAATCCACTGAGAGCCAATTTTGATTTAGCTATACCAGGTATCAGAAGCTTTTCTGCATAGGGCAAGATAGCAAACATTTGAGGCATCGTGGGCCATACTGTTTCTATCGCAACTACCCAACTCTGCCATTGTTGCAGGAAAGCAGCCATAGACCACACATAAATAAATGAGCATGACTGTGTTCTAATAAACTTCATTTTCAAAAACAGGTGGTGGGCTGGATTTGGCCTCTGGGCCATAGTTTGCCTCTGCCTGATCTATAACCTTGCCCACTTACTCCTCACCCTGAATTATTTTCAAGTAAACCCAATATATCATATTACTTTATGCCCAAATTTCAGTATCTCTAAAAGATAAGGACCCGTTTATAATAAAATTATAATTCTATCATAATACTAAAGTGATTTATTAATATTAAATATCCAATGTTCAAATTGTCTCAGCATTTTTTTTTTTTTACATTTGCTTTGTTTGAAGGAGGAGATGTTACAATTGGTTTATATGTCTCTTAACTTTCTTCTAGGTATACTTTCCCTCCCGCTAGTGCTATTTTTTAAGAAACTGAGTCACATGTTCTATAGAGGTTTCCACAGTTTGGAATTTGCTGATTGCTCCTGAGGTGTCATTTAACTTGTTGCTCTGTCTCCTGTAATTCCTATAAATTGGTAGTTAGATCTGGAAGCTAGATCACCCTTACGTAGGATTGTTTTGGAAGAACACTTCACAGCGGTATTGAGTATTTCCATGAGGATACATGTAACATCTGTCTCTCCCTGCTTTTTTTTTTCTTTTTAAAGATTTTTTTCTTATTTTTAAGTAATCTCTGGAGTTGGATGCTTAGCAGACTGAGTCACCCAGGTGCCCCTAACTTATAGTTCTTATATAGAAAAGCAGGATAAATACTTCAGTAACTACTTATCCCTTTTCCAAATAATTAGTTTGTTCCCTAGCATCCTCCAAAAGTGACCAATAAGAGTTTTATTTTTATAAAAAATAGTGTTTTTAATTTATGGATTTAAACCTAGCCAGC